TACCTGAGCACCAAAGGGAAGTACATGGTGGCTGTGCAGGGCTTCTCCATCTTGGCCTCCAATGCTGGGCTGCTGGGCTGCATCTTCTTCCCCAAATGCTATATTATTCTGCTACGACCTGACCTGAATACAAAGGAGCAGCTAACGGCAAAAAGTAAAGGTGTCTTGAAAGTGAAGGCTAAATAACTGCAGTGGACTTATGGCTGGACATGTCTTAATTCATCAGTTTAATTTCTGTTAGATATGCATTTCTGCCTTGGTGGGGGGATGGAGAAATAGATTTGCTTTCTGCTTCACCCTCTGCAAGCCATTTTAGCTGCTCCCCTTTTTTCCCCATGGCGGGTGAAGAACGATCATAACAAAGCCACCATTCCAGTTTTGTGGACTGAAGGCTTGCAAGGGTTGCTCTGCCCAAAGTCAGCAAAGTCTGTCCCATTTGGAGAAGATCTTAGGCAGCCAAGACACAGCTGATTTTGCAGGCAATCCTGCTAGAGCTGAAAGCAAAGGAGTAGGAGAAATCAAGGCTGGAAAAGAACAGTGCTTGCTTGAAAACATCACTGATGAAGAGCAGATGTTTTAATGCAGACTTATTTGGGAAAAAGGCATTTGGACTTTCAGTTTCCCTTTCTTCGGAAAAGAGGTTCAAACAACTCATTAAGATTCTGCCTTAATGAATTCACTCACAAAGGGCAGTTTTGCTTATTCACTTTCCAATATTGTTTATTGTAGCTATTTATTCCATGACATTAAACCTGATTAATGAAACTGTGTGAATCTTGCTTCTCTGGTCATTTGCTCCTGTAAGGGGTTTGACACATAAGCAGGAAACACAACACTTCTTCAAGGGGAGTGTAAACTTTAAAAATCCATTCATCCAGTAATTTATTTATGTACAGTATATACACCGACTTCTGTCAGAAAATCATGTTTATCCGAATCCATAGGCGGGCGGGCAGGCGGGCGGGCGGGCGGGCTATCTAGCTAAAGACTTATATGATCTCCCATCTTATATACAATAGTCCCGGGCATCTCACAACATAACAGTAAAATATAAAAACAAACAATGATCCTAACATAAAAAGCTACAGCTCATGGTCCTCCATACACCTTCTGGGCTCCTGTCTCACCCTTCCCCAATGCTTTTGGGAAAGGCCAGCTCTTCAAAAATGTCCAGATTAGGTGGGGAGAGGCCTGCTGGATCTCAAGGGGAAGGATGTTCCACAAGGCAAGGGCTGCTAGGGAGAAGGTGTGCTTCCTAGATCCCACCAGATGACTATATTTAAGAGAAGGGACCTGGAGCATACTCATCCTATCTGACCTTGAGGGTATCTGCCTGTTCCATCTGAATTGGTGGAATGAGCAGATAACACTCAAGGAACTTGGGTGTTCCATAAAGAACTTGGCCTTGTACTATTCAGGGCTTTAAAAGTGGTAACTGGTCCCTTGATTTGCACCTGGAAAAAAATGAGAAACTGTGCAGCGGTGGTGTAATATAAGCAACTCACAGGATGCCCAGAACCACACACACGGCTATATTCTGAACCAGTTCTAATTTCCAGATGGTCTTTATGGGCAGCCTGATGTAGGGTGCATGGCACTATTACTGCAAGCCTTCCTACTGGGAAGGGACCAAAGCATGAGTGACTGTGGTATCCTGTCAAGAGTCAAATATGACACCACTCTGGATCCAGGGGAGCCAAAAGCACAAAGCCACTCTATCTTGCTCGGGTTCCCATCACAGCCAGAGTGAGCTCCAGAACAGCATTGCCTAACTGGCCAGGGTGAAGATGTATAACTTAGTATCTTTGGCGTACTGGTGATAACACACCCTATGCTGCCAAATGACCTCACCCAGCAATTTCATGTTGTCTCCCTTGTGTGGATTCTCATATGGGAATTAAGTTCACCACTATTACTGCAAGCCTTCCCAAATTCCATACATTTATATGGTTTTAATATAGGATCATATAAAGTTTCTGCTATCACGGAAACCCTTTCCAGTCTACGCGCTTATATGGTTTCTCCCGAGTGAATCCTTCTGTGGATATTAAGTGCACAATTTTGACTAAAGCTTTTTCCATTCACATTTATATGGTTTCTCCCGTGTCGATCCTCTTGTGGTAACTGATGACTGCTGGTTCTGAAATTCTTTCTGCACTCCATGCACTTATATGGTTTCTCTCCAGCGTGAATCCTTTTATGGGAAGTAAGATCCCAAGAATCAGTGAAGCACGTTCCACACTCTGTGCATTTATATGGTTTCTCCTTGGAGTGGATCCTTTTATTTACTTTTTATTAGTCAAATGTATATGGCCACCCATCTCATGAAAAAGCAATTCTGGGCAGTGTACAATAAACTTAAAAAAACAATATATTAAAATATTAGTTAAAAAATTAAACTCAAGGCTAAGAGAGAACAGCAGATGTTAATAACAACGGAGCCACCTCAGTATCTCACCGGTCCCCTGGGGTCCCCAGGCCTGATTGCATAACCAGGTTTTGAGGGACTTTCAGAAAATCAACAGGTACGGAGTCAGCCTCACTTCCCACTTTTACAGGAAGGGAAGCAGATTCAGTGAAGCATTTTCCACACTCAGTGCATTTATATGATTTCTCCCCTGTGTGGATCCTCCTGTGGTGACTAAGCATACTGCTGGTTCTGAAACATTTTCCACACTCCACACACTTATATGGTTTCTCCCCTGTGTGGATCCTTTTATGGGAAGTGAGGGAACCTGACTCAGTGAAGCATTTTCCACACTCCATGCATTTATAGGGTTTCTCCCCAGTGTGGATTCTGTTATGTATAGTATAATGATGTTTTTGAGTGAAGCTCTTTCCACACTCCTGCCATTTATATGGTTCCTCCCCAGTGTGGATCCTTTTATGGGAAGTAAGAGAACTCGAAGCTGTGAAGTTCTTTCCACACTCCTGGCATTTATATGGCTTCTCCCCAGTGTGGATCCTTTTATGGATAGTGAGGGAACCTGAGTTAGTGAAGCAGTTTCCACATTCTGTGCATTTATATGGTTTCTCCTCGGTGTGCAACCTTTTATGGGAAGTAAGGAAAGTTGAAGCTCTGAAACTCTTTCCACAATCCTGGCATTTATATGGTTTCTCCCCAGTGTGGATTCTGTTATGTACAGTATAATTATGTTTTTGACTGAAGCTCTTTCCACATTCCTTGCACTCATACGGTTTCTCCCCGGTGTGGATCCTTTTATGGGAAGTAAGGTGTTTTGCAGAACGGAAGCTCTTTCCACACTCCAGGCATTTATATGGTTTCTCCCCAGTGTGGATTCTGTTATGTTCAGTATAATGGTATTTTTGTCTAAAGCTCTTTGCACACTTCTTGCATTCATAAGGTTTCTCCCCAGTGTGGATCTTTCTATGGGAATTAAGATAACCTGAATCTCTGAAGCTCTTTCCACACTCCTGGCATTTATATGGTTTCTCCCCAGTGTGGTTCCTTTTATGGGAAATGAGGGAACCTGACTCAGTGAAGCGTTTTCCACACTCCTGGCATTCATATGGTTTCTCCCCCGTGTGGTTCCTTTTATGGGAAATAAGGTGTTTTGCAGAACGGAAGCTCTTTCCACATTCCATGCATTTATACGGTTTCTCCCCTGTGTGGATCCTCTTGTGGATACTAAGGTAACTGCTGGTTGTGAAAGTCTTTGCACATTCCATGCACTTATATGGTTTCTCCCCTGTGTGGATCCTTTTATGGGAAGTGAGGGAACCTGACTCAGTGAAGCTCTTTCCACATTCCTTGCATTTATATGGTTTTTCCCCGGTGTGGATCCTTTTATGGGAAGTGAGGGAACCTGACTCAGTGAAGTGTTTTCCACACTCCTCACATTTATATGGTTTCTCCCCAGTGTGGATCCTTTTATGGGAAGTGAGGGAACGCGATTCAGCAAAGTGTTTTCCACACTCCTCACATTTATATGGTTTCTCCCCTGTGTGGGTCCTTTTATGGGAAGTAAGATAACTTGGATTTTTGAAGCACTTTCCACATTCCAGGCATTTATATGGTTTTCCTTCTTCTTGTATTCTCTGACATAAAGTAAGAGGAAAGGTCCTTCTGGAGCGGTTCCCACTTTCATCTTGTTTCTCTACAGCATGGCTTCTGCAACAGTCACATAATCCTGATTCATCTCCGAGTATTTTTCCACACCCTGGACACACTCCTTTTTCTTGGTGATCGTCTTTGGCCCAGAAGACCCTGATATCTGCACACTGAAAAGTAGAGCATTTCCCCAGCCCCCCTTTTAACTGGTTTTCCTCAGCCCTTTGCTTTCCCAACAACCTTTCCACAACTTTCTTCCTGCCTTTTGGCAAAGGTGCTGCTGTCTCACTGCCAGAATCCTCCATCTCCCATCCGTCACCTGCTTGGAACAGAAAAAAAGAAACGTTGACGCAAACCGAGGTGCAAAAGGGATCAAGCTCCATTCTTGCATCCCTTATTTGGACATTATCAAAAGTCCCCCTCCCCCCAGCTCTTCTTCCCTTTATCTTTTTTTGTGATTCTTCTGCCTGCTTCTGTCAGGGTGTGTTCAGAACATGGCGCTATGCTTGGTATCAGGTTGATGTAAGATCTGTGATGGCTTCCCTCTTGCCCTCCATGGTGCAGAAGGCACACCTGAAACCTTTGGGGAAGATAATTTAGAGTCCCAGGGTAGGGCACCGTCAGCTCAACTGCTCCAGATTCAGTTCCAAGGAAGCACGAGGTGAGCATGAACAAGAATGAAGTACCCCACAAATTACTAACCCTTATAAGGATGCTTATAGAAAAATAAAATGACAGAAACTAGAAACTTGAAGGCAAAAGTTAGAAAAGCAGTGCAAAAGGTAAGCTTGCTAAAGGTAACCCCAAATGTATCATGACACAAGGCAAAAAGCTGGTAGACAGGAAACATGAAATGGGAAGTTGTGGTTGGATCAATGCTAGTAGACCACAGATACTGTTGCAATATGGTAAATATAGATTGGTAGAGGCGTTAGAAACGTTTATGTAATCTTAAACATGTCAAATATTGTATTACAAACTACTATATAAGACATAGCAGAAACAGCAGTTAGAGATCATCATCTAAGGGAAAGGTCAAAGTGTGACTGCAATGAGTCAGGTTTGTGGAGGAAAAAAACTATTAAAAATCACTGAACAACAGGGGGTTACAAAAGCTTTGAGGAAGACCTCCTTGCGCCCTTTCTCTGTGCAAAATAAAGTTTGCTTCAATCTCCACCTCGGTGTCTTTCTTTGGGCATCTGGCACACCAGGACTGAACCCAGATTTGGGCTAGGACAACAGAGGGACTCTTGTACACTGCCTCTGTTCTTGGACCTGGGAACTGAGCTTCAGCCTCTTTGCCATGAAGAAGCTCTCCCTTGAAAAAACTGGTTCTCGGTCTGGGTGTGTTCATTCATCCTCGGTTGTCCCTACATTTGCAGGCAGCTCCAAGAAAAGGGAAGCTTTGGAGAAAACGGGAGGAAGAGCCACCTGGGTGGAAGGTCCCATTTCTTGAAAACCCGGCCCATCAGACAGCCCAGTTCTCTAACAGTCACATCCTTGCAATAATCCCTGTGTATTAGGACTTCCAAATGCCACCATTATAGACAGAAAAACACAAAGAGGAAGAGAACACCTAAGGCTATCTACAAAGTGGGACAGGCAGGATGGGAAACTGGCTGGGATGGGAAACTGCACGGGAGGACTTCTCTCCTCTTTCAGGAGACAGCATGATGGTTTTAGCCCTTCTTAACAAAGCGAGTGGGAGGACGAATTCAGATGAGGACACTCTCCTCCGCTACAGGAAAAGAAGAGGCCAGCATTTCCCCTGAGAAACAAATCAGCTGCTTACAACTGGCTAGAAAATAGCTTCCACCACAATTTCAGCCCAGAAAACGGAGTCCCTTACTTAGGGAGGCCACGTTCCTTGCGTTTTCCAGCATAACCTCTCGATACAGGGTTTTTTGCTCAAAATCCAGCAGGGCCCACTCCTCCACAGAGAAAAACACAGCTAC